ATTTTTGTTTCATCTACTTAAGATATGTTTTTAAAATTGACCTTCTGTAACTCTATAGAGGTAGAACTTGAATTACCAAAGAGTAGAATTATAACTTCAAAATGAAAAAATGGCCAACTTAGTTTAGCTCCAGAGAGCAGTTCACAAAAGATGGCATGAAACTTCTAAGTAAAACGTATATTCATCTTCAGAGTCTCGTTGTCGTTCTCTATCTCTCCTTCCCTCAATAATACTTTTAGGGCGCCTGGGTGGCTCAGTTGGTTAAGCGACTGCTTTCGGCTCAGGTCATGATCCTGGAGTCCCGGGATCGAGTCCCGCATCGGGCTCCCTGCTCGGCGGGGAGTCTGCTTCTCCCTCTCCCACTCCCTGTTTGTGTTCCCTCTCTCGCTGAGTCTTTCTCTGTCAAATAAATAGATAAAATCTTTAAAAAAAAAAATAATAATACTTTTAAATTCTGACCTGAACAGGTAGTGACAGTACTTTCTTAGCATAGCCTCCTGGACTGCTGAGGAGTGATGTTGTTCGTATAAAATGCTGATAGAGGACCTCATGACTGATTCTAGGGCTGGGGCAGAAAAAATACAAAGATGAGCCTGGAGAGTAGGCTCTTGAATTGCCAGAAAGTAAATGCTGAAAATAAGAAGGTAAGAAAGTAAAAATGGAAGCAAATTAAAAGGACACAGGTGCCAATCCGAGAGAATTCCCAGTGCCAAAACTGGAACAATTTGACCAACAAAATAAATGACAGTAGTATTTTATTATAAACCAAAGAATAAAATAAATATCCATGAGTTCATACTGATACAAATAAGCAAATAAATTAATGAGGGAAGTGGGACAAGTGTTCCTTACAGAAAAAGTCCAGATAATAAATGTAGAAGGGATGGAGAAAAGAGAAAACCCCAGCAGAACACCACAGGAATAATTGCTGCGGGCAAGATTCATGGAGGAATGCTAAAATTAATGAGCAAAACTTTAAGGAGAAACAGGGTATTTGTATAGTCTCAAAATATCTCTCTCAAGAAACTTAGTAATGTCTGTAGTGGTTTTAATAAATGTCCACAACTTTACTCTTCCTTCCAGGAAGTGGAGTTTACTTCCCTTCTCCTTGAGTGGGGCTGTTTGTTCATCGTGACTCATAACTAACCGATAGAGTATGAAGAGGAGAACAGTAGTAACTTTACAGTAGTGAAACGTGGCACACACCATCTTAACAAAGTGCTCAGGGTTAGCATCAACCAGTAATAAGTCATGATATCACCCCCCCCCCAGATATTACACGAGAAAGGCACTTCACCTCTTGGCATTTGTGCCCCAAATCCAAACCTCGGTCCAATCATGAGAAAACATCAGAAAATTCCAACTTGAGGAACATTCTACAAATATCTGACTACTACTCTTCAAAAGTGTCAAGGAAGGTCTGAGAAACTGTCACAGATCAGAGGAAACTAAGGAGACATGATGACTAAATGCAGTGTGATTTCCTAGATGGGATCCTGGAACAGATAAAGACATTAGTGGAAAAACTGAAGTCTGAATAGCCTGCAGTTCAGTTAATTGTGTTGTACCAGTGTGAATTTCTTTGAGTTGATAAATGCACCATACTACATAAAATGTGAACATTAGGGAAAGCTGGGTGACAGGAATACTAGAACTCTCTATACCATCTATACACAGCTTTTCTGTAAATCTAAAATTATTTCAAAATTAAAAGTTAAAAATAGAATCACTACAACTCACTGATGGCTTTCTCAGTCTAAGGATATTTGTTAAAGTGTCTCCAGAGCAAATTAATTCAGAGAAATCCCCCTCCCTTCCACCCTTTGTGCAGTCTCTCTAGAAAAGAAAGATGGGCTCTTTTTTTAAAAAAAAGATTTTATTTATTTATTTATTTATTGGAGAGAGAGAGAGCACAAGTGTGGGGAGAAGCAGAGAGAGAGGGACAAGCAGATGCCCTGCTGAGTGCGGAGCCCAATGCAGGGCTTGCTCTCATGACCCTGAGATCATGACCTGAGCCAAAAGCAAGATTTGGAAACTTAACCGACAGCCATCCAGGCACCCCAAGATGAACTCTTTATAGCAAAAACAGCTCTCCCGAAGCAGGGACAGCAAGTTTTAGAGTTTTATCTCACTACTAGAAATAGAAATGCAACTTTGCCTGTTCCGTATAGGTCAGTTCAGCCAACACTGATGGTTTGCCTTTTGTGACTTGGAAGTGTAGGTATTTGCCTAGCACTTAAGTTACAGGAAGTGTTCTGTAAGAATAGTGCAGAGTGCAGCACCTGTGATTGTACCTGACTCTACTGTGGGCTCTTTGTTGCAGGTATTATTGTTGAGCTGCTAATTTAAAATCTCCAGAGACATTAGGGGCACCTGGGTGGCCCAGTTGATTTCGGCTCAGGGCATGATCTCAGGGTTGTGAGATAGAGTCCCGTGTCAGGCTCTGTGCTGGGCGTGGAGCCTGCTTAAGATTCTCTATCTCCCTCTGCCCCTCCCCACTCCCTTTTCTTTGTCTCTCTCTCTCCCTCTCTTAAAAAACAAAACAAAACAAAACAAAAAACCACCTCCAGAGATACTAGATCCGGTTTCATTGGACTGTCTCTTAACCTCATTTTATTGGTAGATTCAAACCGTATAAAGAGTGTGGTACTGAACAAGATGGATACATGAACAAAATATTTTTCAGTATAAAATACATTGTATATTCATTGCTCTTTTTTTAAAAAAAAACAGTAAAATTCATTAATTCAATATAATTATTAGTACAGATATGAAATCCTGATTTATAAATATTTTCTTATTACTTTCAAGCTCTTATGAGCTCAAACTAGAGTAACAGAGTTGATTATAGAAGGCCGAACAGGGTCTTGTTTTAGTAAATAATAATATGTAACTGGCTGAGGATGGTTATTGTTGTAGAATTAGAATTTGGATACTAAAATTAAACTCTTCCCTTGTAGAATGAGTTTTCCTCATTCTCTTGATCTGATCATTAGTGACAGCTGTCTTTAGTTTGTGCACATATGAGAAGTATTATTTCTGTCAGTTAAGTATATTTTACTGCCGAACCAAATGAGTACCTTGCAGTGTGTCTACCTTGGGAATATAACTGATGTGATCAATAAAGAACAATGAATTGTTCTTGAACATGGACATAATTTCAGTTAGTATAATGGCAAGTGCATGCATTTTTCAGAAAGCTGTTTCCCAGTTATTGTTAGTGCATGTCCAAATAGATACACAGATACCTAATAATGTTGCTTAATTGCTGTAGTCAGATCGAGCAGCACATAATTTATAGCAATTCTGAAACCAGGAACACAAGAATGATGAGCTATATGATAAAGACTTACTACAATTGAGGGTCGGTAAAAGTACCAACTGCACGTTGTTGATACAAGCCTGTCTTGTGTAGTACATACAATATAATTTTCTTGACACCTGTTTTCAAAGCATACCTTTCCATGTCATCCTGGTTTCTTTAGTGAATTTACTTATAAAGTGTTTTTTTTTTTTTTGAAAGCAGTATGTTATTTCCTAATTTTATATTTAATTAAGAATTTTACTCATTGGCCACTCTGTGCCAGGTACTTTCATTTATTGTTCTTCCAGTGTCCCAGTAAATTAGGAACTCCTTTGCCCATTTTAGGATTATAAAATGAAGACTCTGAAAGGTTTAGAAACTCAGCTCTGTTAGACCCTACATGTGATAAATGTGGTTATCTAGCTGAATAAGTTGCCTAATACTTGGCTATAGATAATGTATCAAAAGTAAAAGGAGGTGGATCTTTAGGAAGAAAGGGAGGGGAATTGAGATTAGAATAATGAATATTTGAGAATAATTCTAGCAAGTTTGCTAAGTGGAACATCATTTTTTGGGGCACGTCTGTTCCAGAGCCACTGAATGTATTGGTCCTGTTGGATTTGTTGAAGATGCAAATAATCCAATCAAATGCAATACTCATTAAGGGAAAAGGAATACAATTTGATAGTTTTTATGAAGACGTGCACTGCCTAATCTGTGAATTGAAAGCATCTTTTAAAAATTTGCTTCCCTTCATATTCCTAGGTGGTATTGAATCTGCGGGTAGAAAAATGAGAGCATTTCAAATAATGCTAATGAAGTTTAAATGATTGCAATCTACCATATTGTGAGGAAAAGTTGTTAGCTGTGAAAGATGAGGACAGAATTAAAATATTACCATGACTGGCATTTGATTTGAAAACTGCAAAGATAAGCTTAGGTTCCTATTTATGAAAACTATCCTCACAGCCTGATGAAATATCTTTTAAAAGGTTTTATGGTTACCATGGATACTCGTTAGCTTTGATAGAGTAAGTTGTAATTCATATTCAATCATCTGAGGTGAAGTAGCCAAAAAAACCAACCAAACTAAATCTAAAGTAGCTTCATCTGTATGTTCATAGTAGTTTGGAGATGGAAAGGGTAACTAACCTAAAGATTAGAGTTTGGATTAGTTATTACTTCTTGAAAAGCAAAATACTTAGGATGTGCATTACCTGAATCTGATCCTAATGTTTACTTTTTGTGTGTAACTTTTTCTTTCAACTAGTAAAGGGAACTTCTTAGGTTTTGACATAGGAATTTAGACAGTGAGACCCTTCTGAAAGCTGACAGACCTAAGCAGCATCCTCAATTTCTGAAAGCCATAGGGACGCAGAAATATTGAAGGCATTGGTCCCTATGGTAACCTATTTGCATTTGGCCCAGAAGTGGCTGGTTTCTGCTTAGCCTCTTTTAATTGCTATATATTGACAGCCGTTTTCACGACTATTTATAAAATGTCGGATTAATGAGCATGTGTACAAGGGAGTGCATACCATATCCTTAGGCTTGATGAGACACTTCCGATGACAAAAGGCTCTGCGTGAAGAGTTACTGAGGTGTTTTTGGCATTCCCTAATGTGTCTGTCACATAGTGGGAGCAAAAAGCCTTTCGAATGATTTAAATATTTTCCTCAATTCTCTTTTAAAACAGGTGACAAAAGAACTAAAACAGTATGACAACAAAATTATAGAATGCAAATTTGAGAATAACAGCTGGGTCTTCATGCGACAGAGAACAGACAAAAGTTTTCCTAATGCGTACAACACTGCCATGGGTGAGTATGACAACCTACCAATGTTTGCTACATTAAAAGAGAGAGCGAGTGCGCATTAGGGTTTTAGAATCAAAATGTGCTGTCTTTGGTGTTCTGCTTGATGGGGCATAGGGTCATTCGGACCCCTGTGCTTGCTGGCTGGGAAAGGGGCTGTGACTGTTGACTCCAGCTGGCTTGTAGATTCCCGCCTCTAGGCCTGTGGGCTTGTGCCCAGGCACCCAAAGGAGACGTGTAAAGGGCAGGATAATGGGCTGTATACAAGTTGGATTTGTTGAACAACAACAACAAAAGCCATGATAATTTCAGATCTATTCAGAACTATAAAAACCATTGTTTACCAGATGGTAAAAGACAAAATTAGCAGGGGGAAAATGTAATTTCCAGCTCCTAAAATAGCTTTACAAACAACGGAGGACAAAGTAAATGAAAACCATTAAAAAAAAAAAACAAAAAAACCCCCTCCTGAAACCTGCTATGCTATCCTTCAGAGAGTTCTTTGGGTATAATATAAGTGCTTTGGGAATCCAGAATAGTAAGTTTCTTTCATGGAGAACAACACAAATTAATTAATCTTATAAGGTAAACTGGTTGCTCTGGATTGCATTTTTAGTGAAGCCGAGAAAAAAATAAAACAGATAAAAACCAAGATTAAAGGTTAATAGAATCGTGTGCTTTTAGACTGCTCAGTCAGTGATGATGCTGATTATATGATAAGCTTATGAGAAACTACAGAAATTGCCAGTTTCAGTTTTGCAGTTTATGAAAGTTACTATTGTACATTTAAGGGTTCTGTTGGAACTAGCATCTGTGTTCAGACAAGATGAGTTAACTTTGAAAATAGGAATAATTAAGCCAGTGTCCTTTTTTCCCCCCAAACTAAATATATAAATACAATTCAAAGGACTGGTGGTCAATTTTGATCACATAAGAAAAGATGCCATATTTATTCATAATTTTATTAGAATACCTTACTTAAACAAGTTACTAAAATAAAATAGTATGATCTGCCAGCTACAGCGGCGCCTCCCTGTTCAGTGGAAACAGTGGCTGGTGCCATCATGACAGGGTGGAGTTTCCTTCTGACAGATACGACTGAAGGATGATAGCACACGTTTTCTGTAGAAGTTTTGGTTGAGTATAGACTATGGTTGTGGTACGTGAAAATCCTATAAAAAGAGTTTTGGAGAGGTGGAAAACCATAGTGAAGGTGTGGTTGTAAGTCCAACACTTAAAGTTTTGGTTTAAAATTCACGGTACAAGAAAAAGTAGCCACCAGAAAAGCACTCATTTTGGGGGCAGGGGAGGGCGGAGAATCGTTTACTGGGGGAAGCGTGTCACCCCAGTTGGTGAACTGAAAGCGTTTAGCATATTGGGATGAAAACCTTTCCCCTTTCGCATCGCCCTGTGGTGAGTCAGCTGCCTTAATTAACCCTCACGTGAGACCCGTGTCTCCCTTTGTCCACAGCTGTGTGCAACAGCATCTCCAACCCGGTCACCAAGGAGATGCTGTTTGAGTTCATCGACAGATGTGCGGCCGCTTCTCAAGGACAGAAGCGAAAGCATCATCTGGACCCTGACACAGAGCTCATGCCTCCACCACCTCCCAAAAGACCTCGCCCTTTGACCTAAGACCTGCCTCTGACTTAAGGACTGAGAGGAAAAATGAGTGAGAAAAAATGCTGTTGCCCCATTTTTGCAGCCAGAGAAATTGGAAAAACAGTGTGGCTTGATGTTGATACACATTTGAATTTTTTTTTTTTAAAGTATTGTAGCCAGCCTGTAAATATTTGATGCATTTGTTTCTTTAGTGCTACAATACATCGTGGACTTTAAACATTTTATTTATATCTGATAAACTCAGCCTTACCTTGTGAATTTGAAGATTGAAATATCCAAAGGTTTAATCGAGATTGAAATCAATGAAAAAGAGGCCTTGTTTGTATATGGATAACTTTCACCTTTAATTTATAAAGTTAGTAATCTGGAACTGTGAGCGCATAAAACACTGTATTTTTTAGAAGCTGTATTTCAACTATGGTAAATTTTCCTTTTAAAAAAAATCTAGGCAATGGCATTAAACATTCTTGCTATCACTTATCATGGATTTCCTACATTTCTGAGATTCTTGTATTCAAAAACAAATGACAAGGTTGTTAAGTATTGTATTATATTAAACAACTTGGTCTGGCTTATGTCATTTTAAGAAGTTTTGTTTTTTTGTTTTTGTTTTTGAGATGTAAAAGTAAAAAAGTAAAGCCCCGTTTTTGTGAGTTGCATCCTTTCTAAAGGAAGTATATTGAGTGTTTTCATGTTTCTCTTCTTTGAACGAAAATACCAGATATCCAATGTGTCCATTCTGGCAGTAGTTTTGAGTTACTTCGTAGAACTTAGATATACACCACCAGGTCCCTTTTATGTGTTGTTCTCCTGGGAGACTTTTTTTTTCCCCTTTAAAAACGCCAGGGCTACTTCTGCTTTACCTCAGTGGTATTGGCACGTTGTAAATTACATTAAAACACACAACTCACTGTGATTATGGGAGTGATATCAAATACAAACTATGTCGTGTTAGTTCCCTTGAACAAAACGGCAAAGGAAATGCCAGCCGACTCCTTTGATTAGAAGGTAGTGCCAATGGAATAGAATGCTGTCACTAGAAAATGCTCTCCCACTGCTAGATAAATGCAGAGGCAAAGAGTAGACATCTGTAGGAACTAAACATCAAGGAAACCAAGACATTTATTTTCAAAGCCAGGATTCTATCTGTGTTCTGTGCTGGGGATGCTATTTCTGTTATACATCTGAATTTTAAAACACTCACTGATAGATAATGGATTTAAAGAGCAGCTAATTGGTCGTCTGCCATTGTTGAGAAGCTGTGTTCTGATTGGTTTGTGAAGGAACTCTGAGAATTAGCCTATTAGAGGCTAATGTATTTATTTTTAGAGGTAGAGGTTTTAAGTACGTGTATTTAAAACAAAATTTCATGATCTGAATTTTATATATGTATATGCATATATATGTCAGTATATGCATCAGTGTATATTCTACTAATACAGTCAGACATGAAAAATGCAAATGAGTTACCCAGCAGACTGAATATCTGACAGGATTTCTATATGCTATAGCACAGATTAACCAAAAATGTATTTATATTCACCTGAGTTTTAATGTTTTTAAACAAAGTTTTCTCCTGCAGTGCTTTTCTATATGAAATACTGGAGTCATGCTTGGGCTTTTTCCTTTGTTCTTTCCAAGTTATGTAACGTGTCGTGAACGTATCCAGAATGTCAGTTACTAGTATTTCATTCCTGTAGTGCTTTTGTGTGTTTGGGCACTAAAGGGAATAAAACACCTGACTGCCACAGTGACTGCTGAAAGGTGGAAATTTGTCAAGGTTCCATAGTGTCTTGTACAAAATGGGTCTGAAAAAACACCTATGCAACTCCAAATAGTCTGATGCCTGCTTCACCAGGATTGGTGACTCATTTCACGTGGTATGTTGCTTTCTTCCGAGCCTGTATAAATGCAGAGCCCTTTTGCAGGTATAAGAGCTAGTTTTTGCCAGTGATCTTTAATGGAGTTAAATGTTTATGGTAATTGTAACCTTTTAAATGAGTTATGTGAAAAGAGCATCTCATTTTTAATACACCCAGATATTTTTTCCTTGCCTTTGTGCATTTTCCAGGACTTAATTTTCTTAATTTGTTCTTTCCTTTCAATTATAGTGAAGTATAATAGCCGGCCTAATAAGTAGATGACATTTGGCCCCTGAACACACACTCATCTGCAGTATCGTCAAAAGTCATGTAGAAAGTCAAGGGGGAAACTCGAGAGGCAGGGACTGGGACAGCAAGAAGGAAAGAAACCCTTCCTTCTCGGTCCACTTCACAATAACTGTTTTCTGACACTGAAGTTTCGTAGACAAGAATGAGAAAACTTTGCTTTCCTGAGTTATCAAATATAAAAGCTTTTGCTTTGAATTTGGAAAAGATGTGGATGACTCGACTGCCTGGATGGTTACATTTGCTTTCCATGAAATGCTCAGAAAATGTCAGGACATTCCTTCTCTAACTGTGTGTCAGTGTGTATTGTAATAAAACTACTGATTTAAAATAATAGAAAGTGTATCTGCTTTGTTATGTGTCCCTTTCTTTTAACTAATGATTTCTGTTCCTTTCTGTTGCTGGCATTATCTTGCCTGTCAGCCATACCCCATCGTAATCCATCTGGTTTTGTTGCATTCTAGAATTAGCATAAGGACTTGGAAAATCCTTGATTTTTCTTCCTGAGAAATCAAGAAGTTGGATTGACATGGGGGGTGTAGTTTGTACCTTTTCTTTTTGGAGTATAGGGGGGTGGGGGGAAAGCACAAAGCACATCTTTAAGTGATACCTAACAATATTTCTGTTCATCCACCTCATCTTAGTACTCTATTATATGAGTAGATAGTCTGTTACATTATTTTTAACACATTTAATTCTTTCCGCAGTAAATATTCTGAAATAATGAAGTAATGACCTCTATCAGTTTTTTTGTTTACCTGTATTTTTTTATAGTATAGAATTTGTCATTTTTAATTTTTAAATGATACCATTTGGAACTATGTGCATAGTCCCTTCTCGTCAAAAGATCTTGAAAGTCAAGAACTAGATACTTGCAGATGGGGAAGACCAATGTGGTGGAGAAAACCCTGGGCTAACCCCAGAAACCAAGTCCAGGGTCTGCCTCTCCTTGGTTCTGTGTTCTCTCTAGATGTCACCCTCTACCCCCGTCTCCATCTATAAAATGCTGGGATCGAGCCAGATGATCAAAAAGAGCCTTTTCAGTCTAACATGACTCTTGTGAAGGCTTGTGCTTTGTAAATAGCCCATATTCACAATGAAGGCAATATTACCATTACTGAATATTTACCAAGCACCAAGACTGTCCTAAACACAACCACCCTGTGCAGGTAGGTACCGTTATTGACTTCATTTTGTAGTTGAGGAACCTGAGACTCGGAGAGATAATTAACCCAAGGTGACGTAGCTATTAAGTTGTGAGCTGAGATCCAAACGTAGGTCTTTCTGACTCCAACGCCTAATTTATTTTTCAATACTCCTAAAGGTTATGTTGTAGTCCCAGCATGGGGGCTTCTTGGGTGCCAGGGGTCCCAAACTATTTGTTTCTTTGGTGCTAACAGAGTTTCAAGCACCTCTCTCCAAAACAGGGAGATGAAGTTGGGATCAGCAAAGTAAATATATTTTTAGGGACTTATTTAACCACTTATTTAACAATATTTAAATGTGAGTGACACAGAGGCCATGAAAAGAAGTTTAATATTCTCATTAAGATGCTAAATTCCAAAGACATAATTAGGAAGAAATAAGTGATTAAATTACACACTGGGCCAACATTTTTCTGATTGTCGCATAGTTAACTGTCAACTCTGATGCTTTGGCAGGTTGGTGTCAGCCTTGGTTAACCCAGAAGTGTCCCTCCTCTTCCCGGACTCTGATACCAGGTGACCACTGTGCAAGATGAACAGGGTGGTGGTGGAGGGCCCTCAGAGCAGGGGCCTTCCAGGCTTCTAAGAAGACTTTACATTTCCAAAAATGAGCACAAGCATCTGGGGTTGCCAGCTGTTTTGCCATGGAAGGGCTTTATGAAATATTAGGTTGCCATTATTTCATAAAATAAAGAGAATCTCTTTTTTTAAAGATTTTATTTATTTCAGAGAGAGAGCGAGCGCACATGCACAAGTGGGAGGGAGGGGTAGAGGGAGAGGAAGAAGCAGACTCCCCGCTGAGCAGGGAGCCCCATGCGGGACTCGAGCCTAGGACCCTGGGATCATGACCTGAGCTGAAGGCAGACGCTTAACCCACTGAGCCCTCCAGGCGCCCCAAAATAAAGGGGGGAATCTTAACCCCCAAAAAGGAAGTAGGACCTAATTTAGAAGAAAGGGCATGTCTTTGCATAGAACGAATTTTGTGTTATGACTCTCTACATGGCCCTTTGCTTCTGCATTTCACCCCAAACTGGTGAAAACTTTTTCGTGGTCCAGTGCTAGGAATCATGGCACAGGTGAAATTCCAGGCGCTCATAAGTGGGGGGAAGGGCAAGCAAAGCCCCAGGGAAGCAGCAGCCCCTGGTTCTGTAGCCAAAGGTCATGTTCATGGCCAGAGGTGACCAGAGTATACCTCGAAATTGTTGATTATATTGTGCCCTTAAGATATAAGGTGTAACAGGTGAAAAATGAATTGTGTGAATGTTGAAAAACACCCAGACAGAATGAAACCCTCAGCGGTGTAAGGTACAAAAATAAGCATAGCCAGATACGACACAGAAAATTGACTTGACACGGCATTTGACTTGGACAACAGATGAGACCCCCAGAGTCACCAATGTTCACAACTTTGAAGTTGGCGCACAGTCCCTTTTTCCTTCGGAACGCTGCCGCCAGAATGGCCTTTCGGGACTGCAAACCTGTTCCTGCTGTTGGTCCCCAGGAAGAGCTCCCTGGCCCGTGACATCAGGGGCCGTCCGCCATCTGGCCGCAGCCTGTAATCAGATGTGGATCGTGCCAGCTGTGGTCCTCCTTGCTGCTCCCGGAACTTCATGTTCTCTAAGCCCAGGAACCTTTGCTCCTGGTGCTTCATGTTCTCTAAGCCCAGGAACCTTTGCTCCTGGTGCTGCTCCTACTTCTGCTCCTGCTTCTGCCGAAAGCCCCAAGCTGCCTTCATC